TGAATCGAAGTCCGCTCAGAATCACGTATCCGTCTACGCTACTGATTCCTCACCGAGCCATCAACTGCAGCACTTCCCCTCTACTGGCAGTCCATCATGGTGAAGGAGGTCGCGGCAGCGCTTACAGGTTCAAAGCCCTTCTAATCGCCGTGTCCTGATCCATCGTCTTGAAGGACTTGCCTAAGTTATCGCTCTCGTTATTTAATCACTACCCGCGAGAGGATGGCTGCTAAGTGGAAGTAAAGTGACACCAACCCCCTCCGTACTTGTACTTCTCCTGTATTCGAATCAAGACTATCTAGTTGGTCACAGCACGTTGAATTTTACCTTCTGCGCGCTTACTCATCCGTACGCTTCTCTCTGTTCTACAGACCATACCAGTACAACCGTCGTTGAGGTTTCATGATTTCTGACATTCTTTTTTTGTTTTGGTTGTGAGACCTTTGAAGTGCAAAGTAATGCTGCAAGACTGTGTGCCCCCTAGTCCCCGCTTTGAAAATAAATGGCCAGAAATCAGCTATAGTGGTTGTTTTTTCTACTTGAGTAGTTGCGTGACAAATGGCGGTAGTGCAGAAGAGGAGACAACCGCTCGCAATACCAAGGCTTGAATAGCACACGCAAGGACTGAAACACCTTTGGTGAAAACGCGACGTTTCAATGCAGGCGAAAGGTCGTGTATATTGTGCCACCGTTCGTTAAGTTTTGCTTCACGGTTGTGAAACCTTGAATTTGCAAGTGAAGGATATCCACCGACTAGAAGTTTTCGATTATCGGTGTTTACGTAGTTAAAACTACGTGGGATGAAGCGAACGGGTTAGCAATGTAGAGGTAAGCCGTCATGTATTTGGGAGTCTATCAAGGCTAATCCTGCTAGCACATCGAATTCAGATCAATGGACTTCACTGGCTAGAGCACGTGTTGCGTATGTCCAGCTGTCGTCTACCGCACTGCACTTTATTCACTATAGCCGCTCCGTGCTGGAGGAAGTCATGTAGAGGTCAACAGATGACGTGGAAATGAGGCATGAAGAAGTGAGCCTGAAGCACAGAGCTGTTGAGTAGAGTAGGTGTGGTGCTTTCCAGGTTGGAGTCCGTAAGACTCCGCAACTGGTTGATTGTAGATATTGAAGAATATGGCAGCAAACCAACAGCGGTAGCATTCTTGTTGTCACTTCTTATCAGGCCAGAATGCTTGAAACGATGTATGCAGAGTTCAATTGCGTACTCCGTGTGTTGACCATACAGTCTCACCTCCCTCCCTCCCTCATAAAACGGTTCACTCCCTGTCCACCCTAAATTTTACTACTAATCTCTTATGTATTGCGATTTTGGCAGTGACTAGTGAAGTTCATTGTATTTCGCTGTACGTCGACGATGATGATGATTGGAGCTGTCTATCTCGTGTTATGCGTAGTGAATCGTTCTCATTCTGATTTTACCACAACGTTATTCATCTAACAGTGCCATGCAACCTATTGAGATAATCTTGATATGCTCTTTTATAGTCACTATATATTTGTAAACTTGCCTCTAGTGCTCCATCCAAAGTTTTTTTTCCGCATCAGACGTTTTATTCTCTCTTAATCTAAAAAGCTGGTATTCGCTTCACACTTGAATACTACAATCATCGGCTACACAAAAGTGGTAACAGACTCGTCCACTGTTATCCAACTCATTCCTTGCTGCTCGAGGCTGCCTCGAAGGTATGATCTACCCAAAGTTCACAAAGGTGTACCACTACATCGTATGATTGGGGCACCGCATCACAAGTTACCACGTTGGTTGGTCAAACTGATAGATCCAATCAGACGCAAGCTTGCAGCACACAGTTTGAAGGACTCATTTGAATTTTCTGACGAAATTGTGACGCTAAATATTTCCAAGAAACACGTGGTATCGTACGATATCTGCTCAGTATTCACCAACGTTCCTCTTGAAAAGAATATTGATAGTGTCTGCTCGCATGTCAGTAGTCTCAGCGTACCACTTTGCCATCTCAAGAAACGCCTACCATCATGTACAAAGACGTTCAGTCTTGTTTTCAATGATAGCTTATATTGACGAGTCAACAGTGTAGTGATGGGAAGCCCATTGGGACCATTGTTAGCCGGTTTATTCATGGGACATCTAGGGGAAACAAAACTCCGTCAATCAATACACGGGACCTTTTTATATAAGCGTTATGTTGATGATACGTTTGTTATTGTCAAAGGTAGGGATCATGCGTAAGCCACGCTAAAAGCTTTGGACTGTTGTCATCCTAATATAAAATTGACGGTAGAACATGAATCCGAGACATCCTTTCAATTCATGAATGTTGAACTTACGAGAAGAAAAGATGGAACGCTCATCAGATCTCGGAAATCCTCAGTATGGTTGGGGGTGTGAAACATGTATATTGTCAGACCTACATTCCACAAAAAAGGTGAACCGGGCAGTATGTAAACTTCAGAAGCTTCCTTCCAATGCAATATAAGCGAGCCCTAGTAAAAAGTTTATTTTTCAGAGCACAGAGAATTTTCTCAACAACAACTTGAAAGCGATCTTGATCTAATATCCTGTGCATTACTGGATAACGGATATTCCCGGAATTTCATTACCAAGTATGGCAATGACACAGAGACCAGAGCGAGGAGAAATGACGTACTAAAGAAAAACGTTCTCCTCACGTTACCATTCAATGATGATAGGATGAGAAATTAACTACACTTCCACTGAAAAATGCTCTTTCAAAAATGTACAACGCCGCTTCACTACTTATTCTCCATAAAAGCAGACGAATGATTACCGAATCATATGCGAACAGGCTGAATCATCAAGTTACCTCCTTGTGTATTTACCTATTTCAATGCACTTGCGGCAGCAAGCCTATCGGCAGTACTGAGAGACGTTTGGCCACTAGGGTCTCAGAATGTCCCGTGAAATTTAGCGCACAATGGCTTGAG